AGATCTGTTTGAGGTCCTGTCTTCATCATAATTTGTGCGTGAAACAGGATTGGGCTATTGGCTTTTCACCTGGCATTAGTGAATAATCCTCAAAATGCTCGTGTAGTCTGGGCATTTGCTTTTGTGCTGTATCTTGGGAAGTGGGTGGAAGCTGTTAAGTCTGCTAGAAAACACACAAAGTTGAAAGTTAAATTTGCTCCTGAAATATTAGGATCTCAAGAAATTATTTCAGAAGATAAGCTTGCAGAAGAAGTTACACATTTGGCTTCTTTGGTGCAACATTCTGTACGTCCTTTGGTTGAGACAGATAGCCTTCTTGAGATGATGTCCAGATACCCAGCTTTTCCATGCTCTGGTCTGGTGAGTAAAGATAAATTTGTATATACATCAAACAATTTCATCAAAGTTTGCCATGCAAATTAACCATAAAAAGCTAGATATGTTTTATATCATCACTTGGTTATTTAAACCCGTGATGTTATAATGATATAGTTGCACTTCTGAATTGTCAATGAGTAAGTCATATTATTGTTCACCAGCATATATGTGGTTAACTGCCATAGCATGCACTTTTGATTATCAAATCTCGTGGTTTTCAGGTGGTTGTACCAAAGAAAGCAGGGAAAGATGTGGCCCAAATTTTTGATATGCTGGTGAGTGATATTAAATCCTATGAACATGAAAGGGAAGATCTGATCGTGAACCCTTACTTGCTTGGGAGGGGAGATCCTTCTGAGATCAGATTTACACTTGGCTACATTATTTTGAAGACAATGGAAGGGGAATCCACTGTTGGAGGAGCTGAGGAAGTTGATTCGTTGATAAGGGTCTTTGAGGAAAACTGCCACCTAACACTTTCTGATATGGTGAAGAATCAGGTTGTGATCAAGGAAGAAAGAAAAAATTGCCTACAATTATCTGTTCGTGAATCAAAGCAACAGATGGAGAAAAGGCAGGAAGTAGTCCAAGGTAAGTTGGGTCATTTTGATGAAGTGATTACTCTAAGGAACCAAGAGATGCTTGTGAAAGGGGAGAGTGGAGAAATGGCTAGGAAGCAGCAAATGATAGCTGAAACATGCCAACCACCTAAGGGAGAAGTAAAGACATTGGTTGAGGAAATAAAGAAGGAAACATGCTATGTATTAAAACAGGAGAAGACTCTGAAAAATGTAGAGGCTGTTGAGTATGACAGTGCTAAGGAAGAGAATGTGAACCACCGTATCTTGCAGGGTAAAGTAACAAAGAAGGAGATTATGGTAGGTGGAAGGTGTAATTTAAGACCGGAGAGGTTAGAGAAAACAAATTGTTATTTGTCATCAGAGGTGGGGGTCAAGAAAAATACAGAGAAGCAAAAACAAGTATCAGCCAAGGAGAAGGGTGGTCTGCGCTCACTATCTAGTTTCTTCAAGTGATGGCACTATTTGTCGTCAACAACTGACAATGATTTATCTCTAGTACAAACCAGGTACTGCATAGGCGGATAGTAAAGTAATCCAGACTTATCTGGGTTTTGATGACTGTGACTGTATTTTCACCGTTTGAAGTTAGAGATGAATATGCGGCTTAAAGGTTAGAATAGCGATAATGAAGAGTGTACAGTATTGGAAATGAAGGTCATGTAGCTTGATTGAGTTGTTTTGCTTTACCATTTAGTTGTGCTGTGAGATTTTGATATATTAGTCACATTTTTTTTTTCTAAAATGCGTTATTAGGTAAGATTTTGATGGTTTGTCGTTAGATTTTTTTTTTAATAAAAGGATTGTCTTTGTTGAGAAGAATAATAAGAGTAAGATTAATTGTAAGAGTGTGTTAACACATTTTTCTTATGATCAGGCTAAGGTACATACAGGATGTAATTCTAACTTTAAACGTCACTCAACCCAAAAATAATCAAAATAATCTTCTAAAGAACCAATTTGTGTAGCACCCGGGGAAATTGAAGAAAAAAAAAAAAAAACAAAACAAAACGCGCGTGCCACGTCAGCAGACCCAGTCAGCAGGCCTTGCCAACCAGGACCTGCCACGTGGCAAAATCACGTCGACCGGGGACGGGCCACGTTGGTGATCCGCGTGCACATGATCGGACGGCCCAGATCAATCGCGCTCACGGACGGCCCTGATTTAATTGCACGGACGACCCAGATTTAATCAAAAACGGACGGCGCAGATTAAATCAAAATGGATGGCTGAGATCAAAAGGCAAAAGGGTATAAATAAGACCCCCACACCAGACCCCAAACCCTAGCCGCCTGCCCTCGCCGGAGAAGACGAACTAGAAGCCGGCCGCCGCCACCCGCCGCCGCACCGGAGGGATTTCCGACCGCCGATCGAGGTAAATTTCATACTCGCGACTCGTTTTTCCACGCTGATTTCTCCAGTGGCCAAATCGGAGCCAAAATCCCGACCAAACGGCCAGAAAACACGGCCGAAAGCCAGCGGCGCCGCCGGGCCCCTTCTCGGTTTTTGCCTCCGATGAGGCCCTTCCCGGCCTCCGTTTAATGCAATTTTTATATCACCGTGATCACCATTCTTTTCTCTACAGGTTGATCGGAGCTGAATCACCAAAACACGAACTTCACCGGAGAGCCGCCGCACCCGAGAGCACCGCCGCCGGTAAGCTTCGGTTTTCCGTAAATTTTCGGCCCCCCGAGGGCCGTAGGGTTGTTTTATCGCAGGAACCAATGCGAGTGTGGCCGAATTCGGCCGGAAACGGCCGAAAACGGCCAACCCGAGGCAAACCGCCGTCGTCGGAGCACGGCGGAGCCGCCGTGCCGGAGTTGCGATATTGGCCGAAAGGGGCCCTGGGCCTAATTTGGAATTTTTTGGAACACGTGCAGGTACCAGTAGTGCATTTCAGTTCCCCGAGAAAAATTCAGGGAAAATTAGGGCAGCCTGTAGGCGCACTGTGAAGCCGTGT